AAAAAAAAAATAGAAAAAATGCATCAGTTTTTTTTTGTTATATACAATAAAAGTAAATTGTTTTGGACCCCATAAACTTTCATTGTATGGATGAAAAATATCTTTTGTGTTCCACAGAATAAAGAAAGTCATACAGGTTTGGAAAGACATAAGGGTGAGTAAATGATGACAGATTTTTACAAATAATTTTAATATGTGAAATATTAGATCCACACAGTTCTAATCGATTTAAATGATAAATTAGCGTGAAGTTACCTTGTAAAAATGCCTATCTGCAGTACATGTATACTGATAAGATGGCAAGTGGACAGACCCTTGTCATCTTCTTCATAATTTTCCTTGTCATCTTTGAACCATGCGTAGCTGAATATCTGTATGCATAAAGATCCGACCAGAACAAACACAAGAGTCAGTGCAGCCCAGGTGACATGTCCCCTTTTGAAATACTGCACAGATAACAAGAAGTCTGATCCAATGTCTGCTAAATAAAAAAGTAGTCCAAAAACAGTGCATAGCCACCGAAACCAGGTAAATCTCTTTCCAGTATTTGTCATGATTATGATTTATGGCATTTGATGAACACTGATAGCAGAATGTCCTTGTTAATGCTGAATATGTAGACAGGCATTTGGTGCCTTTAGACGAGAACAGCTGGTTGACTCAGTCTCCTCATGTCTTTATCCAAAACTGATAACCTGTATTGAATGACAGAACAGACGGACATAAATACATATGATTTACAGCATGCATTAGTTAATGAATGAACTGAATTTTGTAATATTTTGAATTCTTATTGATACAGTTCTTTAAATGCCCATTACTTTCATTTTATCTGAATGTGTTTCTACTATCTATGTTCTGGACTTTGTCCAGTACAAGTCACTGCACAATGAAAGATGAATGATTATGTAAGTAAGATGTGTACAAAATGTGCACACGTTTTCAAAAACAACTGCTTATTTAATAACTAGCCCCACATTTTCACTTGCACCCCCATACCGCACCCAAAAACAACAACAACAACAAAAAAAAGCCAAAAAATATATTTGCTAAAAGTTATTTGCATAAATATATTTTCTACCAATATATATTTTTTGACAATTTCGTATATTTTTGAAAATACATAAAAAAAATATTAACATATTTTTAAAAGCATTTAAAAACATATTTTGACCTTCATTTCAGTCCAAAAAAAAACAAAAAACATTAACATATGTCACATTTAAAGAAAAACTTTATTTGTTGTCCATAGGCTATTCCATCCATTAAAAGTACATTTTCATAGAGGGCAGGAAATGTCCTTTTTATGTTCTTAAACTATTTTTCAATTGACTGGCTTATTTATTTATTTATCATGTCTATGCAAAGCACTTTGTATTTTCAGTGTGTATGATATGTGCTATAAAATTGTCTTGCAATTAACATAATAAGTGCAGCATGTTGATATGTAATATTTTAAAGAAAAGTACATCAGTCAAGTAAATACCATTTTCATGTTGTAAACTACCTTCTTTGATATCAGGACAAAATACATGTGCTAGACTTCGTTATATGGCGGTTAGCAATGTGTAGATCATACAGTATGCTATTGTTTTCAGATAAGCCATAAACTGTCACTTCATAATGTTCCCGGGTGTAATATTAATTTACGTTTACTCTCAGTAACTGCCAGGAAATGTTAAAATTGTGAGAAGTGACATTCAGAACTTACCAGGGTTTCCATTCTTCTTGCTCCGATCAGCAGTGACGACGAGTCTCTGGTTTCTAGACCATATGATTTCTCATAATTCCGATGACAGAGCAAACCACTCCCTTTCTGAACTAATCAGTTACTGTGTTATGTGAAACACACCCAAATGCTTCTTTGGATATACAGTATGCAGTGGATGGAACAATGAGTAAATACAGCAATCATTCATTCCCTGACACTTTGAATACAGAACAAATGTTTGTCATTCTCACAATTATAAAACAATTTTCATTGTCCAATCCTAACAAACCATACATCAATGAAAAGCTTATTTAGTCATCTTTCAGATGATGTATAAACCTCAATTTCAAAAAATTGACCCTTATGACTGGTTTTGTGGTCCAGGGTCACATATATTAATATTATATAATATTATATTACCTACAATTGTGTGTGTGTGTGTTTGTAAATTTTAAGTTTACTTCAACAAAAGCTAAAGTTAAGAAGCTGACATTCAGCTGAATGTTTCATGTTCCCTCTTACAAAATAACCCAAGTATATGACTTTTTAAACTATTAATGATGATTTTAATGTCTTTGCAATGTAAGCAAAGATGTAAATACACAAATACATATTATATATTTTACTGTTTAGTAATAATGGCGTTTAGTAATTGTTTAGTAACTACTGTTTAGTAATAATTTATTAGATGTACATGCATCTCTGTTCATTTTTATTCATTTAATTCACTGTATCCTCCCTTCTAAACTAAAAAGGGCCTTTGACCCGTTTCAAACCCGTAAGACCTTCGTTCATCTTCGGAACACAAATTAAGATATTTTTGATGGAATCTGAGAGCTGTCACCCTGTTGCGCCATTTTGGAGAGTATCAGCTGGACATAAACAACGTATGCTGTTCTGTGTCAGCTGCGTCACGCCGGTTTCCTACGTTGTTGTGATTTGATCTGAACAAAAACAACGTATTCGTGTGGTGCGGCTGACACAGAACAGCATACGCTGTTTATGTCCAGCGGATACTCTCCAAAATGGTGCTACAGGGTGACGCGGAGGAGACGAATTGTTGAATAAAGTAACTTTTTGCTCAGACAGCTCTCAGATTCCATCAAAAATATCTTAATTTGTGTTCCGAAGATGAACGAAGGTCTTACGGGTTTAAAACGACATGAGGCTGAGTAATTAATGACAGAATTTTCATTTTTGGGTGAACTAACCCTTTAAAATGAATAAAACGTCTCATTTACTCCAGTCCAACGGATGGCGCTACTGCATCTTTTGTCACTGTACAACGTGCCTTAAATTGAAAAAAGGGGGTGGAAGAAGAAAGACAGACGTAGGCGTTAAGACTGACGTCCCTGCCGGATAACAATAGTGAAGACGTGTTCCTCACTCCCACTCAACAAAAGTTCTCTCAACATCCGCCAAGATGGGAATCCGAAAAAAGAACAACAAGAACCCACCGGTGCTCAGCCACGAGTTTGTGATCCAGAACCACGCGGATATTGTGTCTTGTGTTGCTATGGTGTTTCTGCTGGGTCTTATGTTTGAGGTAAGAATCCACTTTTGAATTAATTCATTCACTCTTACAGATTTAAAACCAGTTTGGAGTCAAAGATGACAAATCAGCCTAATCAGTGTTTATAATTTTTTTCCCCCTTTTCTATAAGCAATATAACGCATCTTTCGTGTTCTGTCATAGTCTCGTCCCTTTCACTTCCTTTAACTGCAGATAGAACTGTTGGGCTACTTTTTGGTTTTGCCTTTAATGTGCAGCATTTTTAAATCTGTTTGCATATTTATGATTCATATAAATTATTTTAGCTAAGGTTTTACTCTCAAGCGCAGGTGCTAATTGCCGACTGCATTCAAATAGTTGGGAATTTTGATTCACAGAGACATGATGCATGAGAGCGAGAGAGGAATTCCCTATGAAGCGATTAAAGGAAGTTTAAAAAAAAAAAAAGCACGTGCGCGAATTTATTACATTTAAAGGAGTGTTGAACGGAATAACAGAATTGATAGGTAAAGATGATTACGTAACATTGTAGCTGCACTGATACTTTTACGCGCAAATGAAGTGTTACGTGGCAATCGGAGAATGAGTGAGCGCTGTCACCGGTGCACAGCGACAGCAGGGTCATGATTTTTGCCACCAAAATGCTTTTACTGACAGTAACCTAATGATTTGACTCTCTCAGTACTCGTTAGCAATGCGAGTTTGCACAACCGTTAGATTTAAACGATAGTTTGCTAAATATCAGCGTCAGTGCTGATGCATCATGGGAAATGAAGTTTACACTACTGGAACAGATTTTTTGCTCTTAATGGGCATTTCTAACCAGATTTAAGTAAATGATTGTATACTCATCTATACATTATACTATCTATAAAATTTGTGTTTGATGAGAAACTGATTATAATTGCTTTATGTACCTCATAGTCATATTCACTTTAAAGAAAACTAATCTGTAATTTACTTACCCTCGTGTTGCTTAAAATCTGCATGGCTTATTATTCTATTATTATGTTATTCTAACACCATTCATTTGCATTGTAAACCTTATTTTACATACAATGCAAGTGAATGGTGAGAGTCTGCCTGCAATTCTCTAATGACAGATTTTCCATTTTGAGATGAACTGTTCCTTTATTTATTTGTGTATTGACTGCATTTTTATATTTCTTTCCATGTAGATTACATCAAAGGTAGCAGTTTTGTTCATAACTGTGCAGTCTGCCTGCAATTCTCTAATGACAGATTTTCCATTTTGAGATGAACTGTTCCTTTATTTATGTGTATTGACTGCATTTTTATATTTCTTTCCATGTAGATTACATCAAAGGTAGCAGTTTTGTTCATAACTGTGCAATACAATGTAACAATTCCAGCAGATGGTAAGTATGTGCCTTTAATTATATATATATATATATACACACACATATATAATTTTTTTTTTTTTTTAATAATTTGCACTCCAGTTTCTTTTGGTCTGTTTGTATAGCTTTAGTATGAATTATATTTGTCTAGTTTTAATATTTTCTGTTACATTGTTATTTTTGTTAATTAAAACACCTCAAGATTATCAGGATGTTTAGTTCCGACAAGTTTTTTTCTAACAGCTCTTCTAATGATGTTTATTAATGAACTGATAATTGATGCCACTGACACTTACTGTGGCCGTTTATATAAACGAGCTCAATAATGTAAAAAAACAACACCATATTTTTGTTTTACATTGATTCTCTTTTTATTTTGCAATAATAATGCGCACTTCCAAAGGGTTAAACAGTAAGGTGTGAGATCATTGGTTCTGTTATTCATTATCTTGCTGTTTGAGTTTGGCTAAACAAATCAGTTATATCTATCTAGATTTAATTAAATCAAGAAGTTACCGTACTTGGCCATAATGAGTGTGCAATCATGCAATTAAGCATTTTAATAAGACAGCATTATGTTCATTTTTATGCTTACATTTTGTTTGTATCATGGATTTTAGGAGGTCCAGAGGAAACGACAGTGAATTACTTCCATTACGGTCTGAAAGATGTGGCCACCGTCTTCTTCTACATGTTAGTTGCCATTATCATGCACGCCATTATTCAGGAATACGTGCTGGATGTAAGTATCCTGTGAAAACTGAATAAACTTTGAACATTTTAGCTGAAACAACTGACATTTGTCCATAAATGTTCATGTGTATCTTAATAGTGTTTTGGTGCAACACTGTTAATACTAATCAATGTTTTGATTTTTTTT